GGCGGGCGTGTTTTGAAGAACGGACGTTTCCCTAGGCACCGCCGGTATAATGCGGAGTAAGCACAGAAAAAAAGCGGTAAGTTAGTAGCGACATAGTCATAGCGTCATTTCTACCGGGAGAGAAATATTAAGGGGAAGTGGAGCTTCATTTTAATTAGTGAGAAATGACTGGTGGTTCTCTTGGCAGTTGTAAGAATTAGCTTGTCTAGTTAACGCAAAAAATTTCAGTACGTCATTTGGATTTTATGAATCTTGAAAATATGTTTAGCATCTGTTTGTGGTCTGCTTTTATTCATCACTGCCAAGGTCATATATGCGAAAGAAGGAATTTTAGTCAGTGTAAGTCACACACGTTAGCTGTTTCCACAGTACAATGAGGTGTTTTTCTATGTGGTAGACCAGGGGACGGCAAACTGACTTTACCTGGCTGCATGACTGTTCTGAGTTGAGTATTACAGGTAGTGTCTCTACCTGTTGGTATCTGTTGTGGAGTAGACCTTTGACAAAGACTTCAACAGTAGTTGATGTCTGTAAGAAGTGACCTGCTGGCCCAGATCAATGATCCATCTAGCCCAGTATTCTTTCACTGGACGATTGCAATAGGAAACGCTAATTATAGAGAGGTTGTTAGCTTAAGCATTTTGTGCTGCTTATTCTTCTTGTAATAGCCCAGTATCTGTAACTGTTGGAGTCAAAATGCTAAAGTGATTCCTGCTCTGTTGTTTTGGTATCTGATTATGGCTCTCTTGGCCATGAATTTGTCTAATTCTATTTTGAACCTGCTGATCTGTCTGCTTTCACAGCCTCCTGGGGTAGCAAGTTCTAGACGTTCACTACATAGAGATGTACTTTCATGACCCATCCCAAACAGAAATCAAGAAAGAAACGGTATTTGCAGGAAGGCAGACTGGAATTCTTGGAGATAAAGATGGTTGAATCCTGATCTGTCTTAAGTTTGCTGTAGAAAGGTGGAAAAGTAGCAGTAAGAAAAGAAGTTTACAGTCAACGTGTGAACATAGATTGGTTGACATAGGTAAACCTGTAAATACTTGTTTGTTTCCAGGACTGGAAGAAACATTGTTGATTCACTCAAAATTCAGCAACAAGAAGGCCACAACTTTACAGACAGTTCGGATGCCAAGGAGTAATGGTAAGTATAACTTTGCTACTGGAACACAGTCAAGTACTATTTAACGTATTTATTTAACATAACTTACTCAAGTTTCAGTGACTCTTCAGGTGTTTCCTCGTGTTTAAAAAGGGGGAAGCTCTTGTGTTTTGTTTCTATTGGTGTTAGGTCTTCTCTTGCAGTCGTATGATTAAAGTGTAGGAGGTGCAAATGCAACTTCTGCAAAAAATCTAGATTCTGCGATGCTAAGCTTTATGCTTCTAAGTTTTGGGGACTTCATTCTTACAGAAATATTCCCACTGTCTGCATATAGTGAATTAGCTGGGTTGTACCTTTAGTCTTCAATAGGTTGGCCGCTTTCAAATCAATATAGGATACACAGATGACTTTTGTAACTTCATTTTTAACAAATGTGCTGTCAGAAATTATTAAGACAGATTATATAACCTTTCGTTCATGATAAATTAATTTGAATGCATAGGAAGGTGTTTTTTAAAAAAAAAAAAGCTGTGTTCCTTTTTTCTCAGTCAAATCTGCACATAGATAGCTAAAATTCTCTTCAATGTCACTCCATACATATGAGTGGTGTAGTGGTTATGTTTCTTTGAAAATTGTGTATACGTATTTCTTCAGGACTTGTTCCCTTCATGAAAACATACCAAAGCTCTTTAGTCACAGGTTGCTTTTTTCCAGTATATTCAGAGTTGTTGCTTTTTATTGATCTTCTAATCTATCTATTCTTCTAATCTATCTATTGGTCTTCTAATCTATCTTCAGAAGTAATTTGTCAGTATAGAATATTTGCTGCTATAAAAGCATTTTGTTTAAAATTTACATTGTTATTACTGTTTTTTTTTTTTTTGACATTGAGCTGAGTTTTAAAAAGTAATAGAAGAATGAATTACTCTATCATACCAAGTTCTTCCTTGGATATAAGTCTTTAGGAAGAAGTCAGTAAGTAGGCTATACCTGTTAGACTTCTGCAGAGCTTGTTCAGGATAGTACAATTCTACTTAACAGGGAGAGAAAACTAGAGATTGGATCATCTGCTATGTGTAGGGGAAAGACTGTCTGGAGAAATTTTGGAAGGAGGCGAAGATACTCCCTTTCTCTGTGGAAGGGAAATGGGTGCAATTCTCTTAGTGACAGTGACCATCTTAAAATGGTTAGGAAGTCCCACCGAGTTGAGAGAGAGATTTCTGCAGAGGATAAGTGCTTTATGTTTTGACCTAGTGTTTTCCACTGTCTTAATTTCAGAGCCCCCTGTTGATACCGTATTGCTTTCTTTTGTGTGGCAGCATGACACCTATGACACTTGCGCTGTAGCCAGTTTTTCCATCTTCTTTCAGTCTATAGTTTAAGAACGGAGAAAGAAGGACATCTTATTTCCATTTGAGATAATGCTGATGTTGAAATTTCTCAAGAGCACTCTTGAGAAATACTATACTATACTATTTTTAAAACAAGGGGATTTGCGAGCAAGTTTTCTTTAAACTAGTCACATTTTAAGAATCCAAATTGAATTGTTAAGTGATTTCTTACTGAACCATGTGCTGACTAATAGACTCTAAATTGTTTTGCAGTTTACATCTTGGGAAATTGAATATTGTAATAAATTCCTTCTTTTTAAAAATCTTAAATATGGTAGACAATTGGAAATTGAAATGGAATCTGTTTTGACGTTCAGATTTTGGTAGTGTAACTGTATAAATTAACGTATCTGTGTATATATGTGTGTATATGTGTATATATATACACACATACATAAATGTGTAAATGTGTATATCACACACGCTTTTATGTTATAATTATTTATAAAAATTATTCCTGTTTTAGTTTTGGACAGAGTACAGAGCTTTCTACCACAGATGGCACATGCAAATGATGAGCTAAGAAGAAGAATGGTAACAGCACCAGCTCATCAGTTTGATATTGAAAATCTAGACAGTGCAACAGAAAAAGTTATAGAAATGGTAAGCATGTACTATATTTTTGATCTCATAAAGTAAATTGAGATAGGGTTAGAATAATTCTCTAGCCTTAGAATGAACTAGTTTGGTAGTTAAGGCTAAGTCTTTACCATTTTAGTCTGAAATCTGCAAATTGAAAGGCTAAGAGTAGTAACTTGCTTTCAGCTGTTCTTTGTAGGTATTTTTAGGCCTGGGTATAGGTCTTGGGTTAACAAAGTCATTAATGTCTTTAGGGCTTGTATTTGTCTATTTATTTATATTTGCATCAATATTCCCTTTCTCTTGTTAACTGGAATGCTGCAGCCGTGTGCTCACTTAAGAAAATTCCAAAATGAAACGGCTGTGATATGTGCATGTATCTAACCATATGGCTGGAAGATTGTCTGTCCCAGAAAAGTGCCTTCTGGTCTGCAGACTTGCAAGAAATAGGGCAGCCTGGGATTGGTCTGTGAGGTATCCGAACAACTTACTGGCCACAGGTTGGATTCAGAGTTCTTATAGCATGCAAGTTGGATACAATCTACAAGTTTTCCAGCACCGGTATTGGTTGAAAGAATTCCAAATAAAGAGTGAAAAGACAAAGCAGAGCTTGACAATTGTTTGTTTTAATATGCTCAAGTGGAGTGAGTAACTTGGACAGAAAAGTTTTTTATTTGACAGCGCCTGACAGGTGTCTTGGCTTTATAATAACCAAATAAGCTAAGAGACCTGGTGCTTAATAGCATAATGCTATTTGCAGATCACTGAAGAAATTTACTAATATCTCAGTTCCTGTATGTTGCTTTGCAGCATGCGAGAAGTTTCTGAGGTGAGGATCATCAGTTTAAGACAAATGTTTTCAGAGAGAAAAGAATACCTCAAAAATCATGGTACTGCAAATGGAAGTATATGATCACTTTTGCTTTAAAAAATGTCATGGTGGTCTAGCTGACTTGCTGTTTTACAGTAGTTTTAGTACCATGACTCTTACTAGATTGTAAGATAGGAATTATATTAATAAATAACACATATGTTTGTATACATATTATGATCCTTTATGCATTAAAAGGTTTGGTTTGAATTCTTCATTGAAAATGACAGCTTTGATGCCTCCACTCATCAGTTGAAATATCTGATTTAGATTACCTGAGTTCAGCTATGTTCAGCTCTCTGCTAATGGTTACACTTTAACCTGCTTACTAATTAAGCTTTACTGCTTGCTTTAACCTGCTTACTAATTAAGCTTTACTGTTTGCTTTAACCTGCTTAATTATTAAGCTTTACTGCTTAATTATTAAGCTTTACTGCTTAATTATTAAGCTTTACTGCTTAATTATTAAGCTTTACTGCTTAATTATTAAGCTTTACTGCTTAATTATTAAGCTTTACTGCTTAATTATTAAGCTTTACTGCTTAATTATTAAGCTTTACTGCTTAATTATTAAGCTTTACTGCTTAATTATTAAGCTTTACTGCTTAATTATTAAGCTTTACTGCTTAATTATTAAGCTTTACTGCTTAATTATTAAGCTTTACTGCTTAATTATTAAGCTTTACTGCTTAATAATTACACTTTAAAAATATTAGAGATGTGTTCGTTTTTTTTTTTGTTTATAATGCCAGAAGACCCTAAAAGTCTTTCTAGTTGTGGTTGTGGAGTTTTCTTATGGTGGTAGGGCAGTTTATCTGTTTGCTTTATGTTTTAATCAAATGATAGCTGCTATATCAAAATGTATAATATGTTAACTTAAGGTCTTTTTTATTTTTTTCTCCAGAACGTGGCTTTAGTTGAATTGAGTGGTTCTGATACGGACGAAGACATATCAATCTCAGAAGATGACTCAGAATCTGAAGATGACTGTACAACTGATGAAGTGACAATAGACAACATTAAGTTTCCTAAACAAAAGGGAGAAAAGGGCAAAATAGAAATTTTGGACAGCAAAGTGAATGAGTAAATCCTTTTGTGTTTTACTTTTTTTTTTTTTTGAACAAATCATGCTTTGTGACTTTGAAGACTTGACCTTTAAACTACCTTGTTTCCCAGTGCGACATCCACCAGGATCATGGGAAACGCTGTAGTTTATATGGTTGAGAATGTGGTGTCCAAACACTTGGACGATTGTTTTCTTGTAGTTCTGAGGCAAACTACACCTCTGAAGAATTACTGTCTTATTCCTCAAATGACATGGAAGTGAGCTTCACCAGGAAGTCAGACTAAGAAAGCAGCTGGAAGTGAGGTACTTGAGCAGAAAAGTATGCTGCAGAGCTAGTTAAGAAGTAGAATCCTTGGCCTGTTGCCTTGTTGGAAAAGGTCTCTGGAGTGTGGTAGAAAGAGCGTTTGCCTAAAGGAGAGAGAGGAGATAACTAAGAGAAAAGCTTTGTTTTCTAAATTCAGTGTCCTCTGAAGTGAAATGTTATGTACATGTCTTCAATATTAAACATTATTTTAAAGTACATTTGAGGTATGTCTCCGTTGCAGTCATGATAGTAACTGCTGTACACTGAAGCAGTGACTGAGGTCATTTCAGGATAAGGTGACATGGGTGAGGGCAGCATTTTAACCAGCCATGACTCAAGAGAAAGTTCAGCGAACTCTCTTGGTTTTCTTGGCCTGCACTGAGCTTTGTATTGCTACGGGTAGATTGCTGCTATTCCCTAAACTAGCTTGTATCAGCAATAATGTTTGTGGCTGTAGTGTAGATACCCTCAGAGCTTAAAGGGTCAAGTCTATCTCTGTGGTGTTGCAATTGCTTTAAACCTCACTTCTCATCTCCCACTTTCCCTGCCATATACTTCCGTCCTCTCAATTTTGTTGATAATTGTCCTTTCCAGAAGAATAAAAAGACCTGTATTTAGATTAGCTTGAAACAGTTGTGGAATCATAGTCAGTGAGAGTATGTGTCATTCATGCTTACCTCAGATTGATAAAAAGCAATGATTTGGACTGTTGTATTTACCTTAGAGATCGTTTTGCATTTCAGAAGTATCTGTGATGCTCCTGGACATCATCATTTGTTTCTTAAAGGAACTTTGTATTTTCTACACCATTAAAATAAGAATTTCTATACTGTATTTGCTCAAATATTAAACTTCAAACATCATGACTTGAAACCTGCAATTAATTATACATTTTTTTTGACTCTCACTAAATCTTGAATTTTCTTTTAAGATCTGTTTATGGAATAATTGGGATAGGAAATAACAAGGATTCTGGTTGTCTTCCTTTCACAGTATGGATTCTTAAAACTGGGAGGAGGGCATAGTTTACTGTGATTATCTGATTAAATCATTGAATGTTTTGGAGGATGGCAAGGTTGGGAAGCAAGGGCTGGGACTTCTATTCTTGATGGCAGGCCGTAGATCAGGTTAAGCTTTGGGTGGAGCTGTACTCTTAAGAAGAGCAAGCAGTTTTAAGTAGGCTTAGTTTGTTAGATAGGGTCTTGATCTGTATGAAAAGCTTCTATTCAAATTGAAAAAACGTTTGAAGTCTAGTGTCTTAACTCAGTCATTTTTGATGACTCGGTGATTTCCCCAGAGATTAGAAAAAAATTGAAGTATGAAATATGAATAAATATTCTCTATAAAACAGTCATAACAGGCCACGTGCACAGACACAAAAAGTGATTTTAATCTGTTAATGTAACCACCTTTCAAATTGCAGGCAGATCACACATTCCATATCAACAAAAAGATAGAAAATATTTTAAGTAATTTTAGCTTGATATGCATAGTTTAACACCAATGTTGAACTCTGTATGTACTATACAAAGATCATAGTAAGTGCACTTTCTTGCGTTTATTTACTTCTTATGGCACGAAGGTTTTCTGTACTGCTGAAGAATCACCAGAGCAGAATGTTTAATTGCTACTGTAAAACTTGAACCAGTTTTTAGCAAAAACGGCGTAATATACATATTTTAGTTCAACTTTGAGAGAAGCCTTACGATTAAAGATTTAAAATGATCATGTAAATATTATGTTCACACAAATAAAAAAGTAGGCATGTGAGAACACATTCTTCAGTTGTGCTAATAACTGTTACTGTTGCTGGATAATTTAAGTAACTTCAGATTAACTGCCACATGCTTTCATCTTTCAGTGAGACTAAGATTTGGACCTGATTTATATAAATTTCTCCATGGATTGGGTGCATTTGTTCTGTTAGTTGTACCACTTTGGACAGCATATCCTGGGCATTGTATTAAGTGCTTCATGGAGTCCTTAAGACTAAAACTCGGGACAGTTTACTTTCCAAGTGAGACTGTTACTTTAATACTCCACAGTGATAGCCTTGGTTCTAAGATATTCATGAAGAGCTTCTTCACCTGTAAAAGCACAATATCAACCAATTAGAACAGCAGCTAAAATGAGAGAACGTTCTCAACCTTTAGCCGTATTACAAAAATTCACAACACTAGCCAGTATTTTGAGTCCTTAAGGAATAATGACAAACTGATTAACTTACCCTCCTGCTGAGATTGACAGAACTGGTTTGACAAGGAGAGGCCAAAGCCAACAAATGTGGAAAGAAAACGGAGGTGGAATTTAAAAAGGGAGAGCTACCTGTGTACGATTGAACGGCAGCAATTTCCAGATGGCTGTTGTGGCTTATAGTGGAAGTTGAAGTTTGGTTTGTCTAGAGTATGTTAAGTCTCTAAGTATAGATTCTGTATGAAGATTATTACTTTTTTTCTATTTTTTCCCCTAATAATATTAATCACTTCAGTTTCAGGAAATGTTTGATACTTGTTAGAGATTCCAAAGGGAAAATCTGTTGTGTTACTGTGAAAAAACTTCTCTTTAACTTTTCTTTCCTATGGGGCTTGATCTGTACAGACTTGTAAAGCTTCTTTGACAGACTAGGTCTGTTTTTTTTTTTTTTAAACTGCTTTCTGAAAGAAACAAGTTTTATGCAGCTTTGCTCTGGGCCCATTGGCAATTTTCTATCATGTTTTAAGGCACAATAAAGGAAAGACTTTTCCATGTTCTTACAAGCTTAGAGGAGAGACCTAAGTTAGTGCCCTTTCTGTGGGAAAGGAGAGGAGACTTTGGCCTGTACCTTTCATTGCTTGACGGCAGCTGGTAGCCTGTACACAGCTCTGGACAAGCTGTAATTTGATCACTTTGAGAGGAATTGGAAAGGAATATTCTGTGTGCCATCGAGGTATTTAGGAAACGTGCAGGAAAGGGTGAATTGGAGGTACTGAGGCAGGATTCCGTAAGGATGGGAGCAGAGAGGATCTAGCTCACTGCAACTGGAGGACTATAAGAGATGCAGGGCACATACCCATACCTCAGATTATACTAGTTGTGCTGTTCACAGGGAAGCTTTTTTTTTTTTCATTGATTTGGACTGTCTGCTGAAAAACTTACCTAAATCTTTTCCAAAGCCAGATTGTTTAAATCCACCAAATGGTGCAGCTACATCAGTTTTGTTGTATGTGTTAATAAAAACTGTTCCAGCTTCTAGCTTTTCACTTATATAGAGAGCTTTGCTTATGTCTCTCGTGAAAACTCCTGAAGCTAAACCATATTCTGTGGAATTTGCCCGTCTTAGCACTCCATCGACATCCCTGTGGGGAGAAAGAATTGATATAATTGCCGGTAGGTAAAATAAACAAGTGTTAACAGCCTTCCGCTGTCAATTCCAATTTCATACATTTTCTCTGCAGTTAGCTTCTTTAAGGACACCATTTAATAATAAGTACTAATCTGTGTATCAATCCGTCAGATTTATGGAAATTCATACCATTACTTCAAACTTGTAAAGCTTGTAAGTCTGCATTTCAATGGTTAAGATTTGCACTGAGAAATATCAAAGGAAAAGTTGCATTATGCATACCAGTTGTGTGCAGCTGCAGCACAAGATGGGGAACAGAGCAATACAAAAATACTTGTAAAGCAGAGCTATGCAGCAGATTACGAATTAGTTTGCTAAAAACTGGCCCTGCTTTACAAGTTAGTGGAGAATAAATGCTGAAACTGAGACTTCTGTTGTGACACATCTTTTCAGGTCATGTCTAGAGTGCTATTTTCTATATGCATCTTATCTCCATATAGCTTGGAAATCCATAATAATTTAAAAAAATCAAAAAACTTAATATCGTCTCTTATCACTAATATAATTGCTTATCATACATGATGTGAAGGGTTGTCTATGTGGTCAGTCCTTAATTGGATTTTCAAACTGCAGAAAAATGAAGTTTGGTGGAAATATATGAAATGCATATATAAGTTTTTTATTTAATCTGTGTGTAAAATTCATTCCTATGATTTGTAATGGAAACTATACAAAACCTAAAGAGCAATTTCCATCTATAATAGGAATGTACCAGTGTTACATAATGTACAACAATGTTATGCAGTCCTTTGTGACAACGAGAAGGATAAGCAGTTCCATTGGAAAAATACATGTTACGTAATTTGATCAGGCTATTGCAATTATCATGTCACCTTCAGTAAATAAGACTCAATATTCGATGAAACGTTTTTAAGAGGTGGCATTTAGGGTTGCACAGTATCCCCTACTGCACTGCTATAGCATTAACTTTGTATTGACATGGAGAAGGAGACCCCCAAAAGTGTGTTTACTTAGAATTTTATCTGGAAGAGAAGGTAAGGATTCAGCCTAGTCTTACAAGGTTTAATAAAATCATACTACTGGACATTTTGATTATATTGTTTTTTACTTTTGGAGTGAAAATGAAGAAATAAAGTTTCTAATAGTAACCAGAAGAGAACATACCCATTTTTAAATTTAGAAATTACCATCACAGGACCAAAGGACTCCTCCTGGGCAATATACATATGATCTTCAACATCTGTGAATACTGTGGGTTCCATGAAGAAACCTAAACAAAGGATAGGGCATCATTTGAGCACGGACAAAATACTTCTCGGTTTGTATTGTCCAGACCATCTCTTTTCCATACTTTGAGGTGAGCCCAAGTCATAGGCATGTTGAGAGTTGAAAGAGAAATAGAGAAATATTAAGACTGATAGGAATGAAGCGTGAATGGAAATGCCTGTGTGTGAACACCAAAGAAACAGCAGAACAAGGGTTAAAAAAATGGCCTATACGGATCACAGCAATAGCGAGTGTTGTTCATAGCAAGACCTGAAGGCCAGCGCTCCACAGCCAGATGACTTCCCAGTGGAAGACCCTAGACTCAGGCAGGAAGGTTACAATGTGTCAACAGGACTGTATACAGCACTGTAGCCATAAAGATGTGTATGTTCCAAGCAAGGAAAAACACGATGGGCAGCAACTTTGCCTAAGATTTATGGAGACTGAAGTAAGGAAAAAAGGCCCCCCTGTGACAGATGTTGATTTCTATTAGGTGTAAAAGACCAATCCAAAAACTAGTTCATCGTTGCTAATGAAGAGCCCAGGAGTTACAGTGAGGACTTCACAGTTGGCATCCCTTGCTGTCCCTGTGTTGCACAAAAGTGATTCTACACCTACATCTGGATGTGTAAATGTATTTGAGTGTTAGTGGGTAAAATCAACATATTTTGAGATTTTTGCCTTCCCCTTCCATAAGATTTCTCATTAAATTTGATTTCCTATAGCTACAAATTTTCTCTTTCATTTTCTTTGAGGATGCAATCATTATGTTTTGAAACAGATGCAAATGTTTCTCCTTCATTACTGATACACGACAGATGTCCACAAGAAAATATTTGCTCTTATGCCTGCCCATCAAACATAGCATTCTTTATATAGCAAAAAAAGGCTTTTGATCGTAATTCCTGAGGCTGACTCTGCAAGCAAGGTACCTCAAAGAGCTTTAGTGTTTTGCTGATATAATTGGACACAACTATACTTAGGGCTCTTACTAGTTCAATGATGTAAAAAAAGATCTTAGTGCCCCACAAATAACAGGACTGGATTCCGAGTCAACTTCCTATGTTACGCTTCAGTTGTACAACTTCTCTTAACGTGGGAGTTCAAAGCCCTGTTCTCAAGTGTCATCCTGGGCTTACCTGGTACTGCTTCTACGATACTGCTACTCTTTGTTTAATGCAATAGAGACAATCACATTTTATTTAAAGTGTAAGAATTCCA